TGTAGATTGGCCCGGCCCTAACAGCGGCCAAGAGGAGGTCCAGCCCAGGTTGTGGAGTCTGTGTGGAGAGCTAAACTCTCCTAAATTCTCTCTAGCCACACCTCTCATCCCCTGAAACCGTAACAGTGAAGAGCCCGCATGTCTTCATTTGTGTCAGAAGGGAAAGGTTAAGTCAGGATGAAAAGGTTAAGTTTGAAGGATTAAAAGTGCTCCTGTCATTTTCTAGGTCAGATTGGCTTTCACTTGGTACCTTGCCAAACAGACATTTCACTGAGAATTGTCTGGGGGGGAGGGGGGGCGGGGAGGAGAGATGTAATTATAAGAACATCAACAGCCCCATTGCAAGCCCCTAGGGGTTCTCTGCGGAGTCTAACTAGGTGTTTTCTTGTGCCTGGAAGTAAATGTACACGTGCTGGTGTGCAGCTCCCAGGAGGCCAGTGCCAAGGCGGTGGACAGGGAGGCCCAGGGAGGGGAGTGGTTAGAGGAGAAAGGGAAGGCGAGGAAGCCTGTACCCAGAAGGCCGAGGTCAGAGGACAAGGTTGCTGTGGTGGTGCCTGCAGAGGGGCTGGCCGTTTACAAAGTGCTTTTGCTCCCCCAGTTCTGGGTGAGGCGCTGAGAAAGGTGGCCGTGGCCTTACAGGAGATCCCATGGCCAATGAGGGAGGGCGATGCGACAGGACCCGGTCCTCAACCCACACGCAGCTCCTGTTGTGGCTCCCAGTCTGAGTCCTTCTGTGGAAGAAGGGCACCCTGGGGGCAGGTCCTGCAGGTCCCTCCCAGCGCGAGGATCCTGATGACAGTCTGCCTGCAGGATCTGCAGGAAGGGTGGAGGTCTGATTTCACCCATTCGGGTACCCGCCCCCCTCCACGGAGCTGATGGGCACCATGTTGTCACTGTTGAGATTTTACAGATAGTTCTTTTTTCCCCATAGAAAAAAATGCAGCCTTATTTCTCTGTTTTTTTTTAAACCTGAGCACAAGTTGTTTCAAATACTAACTTAATTTGCAGCCTACCTCAGAGCCCCCCCTCTCTGGGGAAGGGAACCTTCTGCCCCTTGTGATGTGCAGGCCTGCAATCCCTGCAGGAAAGGGGGACCTACCAGCCAGGAAGGTTCCCAGGATGAGAAAATCTGCTCGTGAGGCAAGAGCGCCCCCTGGCTTCTCTCGGTTGTACTCCGAGGAGCAGCCAGGACCTCCTGAAGGGGAGTCAAGGGCAGATTTCCAGAACAGTCAGCAGCAGGAAAGGATGGAGGCGTATGCACCTGCCAGGGAGGCAGACTGGGCAGCAGACACACCCACCCAGGAAGTTGAGGTGAAATGAAATGAAACAAAGCAGAACAACAAAACAAATTCTTGGCAATTATCTGGCTTCCTCCTGACTCCAACTTTTCTTCCTCCTATGCTGATTGATTGGCAGGCACTCTGTCAAGACAAACAAACAAACAACAAACACTCCTCTGGGGTGGGAACAATCAAATAGGCTATGCTTCAGCTGAAAGGACAAAACATCTTTCTTTAAAAAAAATATTAGAACCATCTAGATTCCAATTTCTCCAAAAAATAAATCTGGAGTCTTGACTATTTCCTGCTACTTTTTTCTACACATTTTTTTTTTAATTCACTCAAGCTTTGCAGTGTATTTGCTCCAGACTTTATCTGGCATGTGATTCCAGAGCTAGGGAAGCAGGTTTCCTCCCTTAAACCTTTGTCCAGCAAGGTCTGGGTGTCCAGCATGGTGCTGAGCCTGTGAGGAACCCACACATGAACACACACACACACACACACACACACACACCCCTCAGAAAGCTCACTGAAGAAATACTTTCTTACCATGATAGATATTATTTTAAAAAATTATTTGGCATTGAAGAGTCTGGGCACAACACTAGATAAGAGAAAAACAACCATCTAGACCCCTCCATGTGGCTCTGAGGGGAGGAGGGACCCCATGGACGTAGACAAAGGAGCTAGCCCCAGAAAAGATGGACAGAAAAAAACACACCCCCGCCCAATACCTGCCAACACTCACCCTGTGCCCTGCGAGGGATGGGTCACACAGGTGGAGACCTCCTACACTTAGGCATACACCCTTGCCTGCACCAGACCTGGCCTTCTCAAACTTCACGATGAACTGGAAACTCAGGGCATAAAGAGCGGGAGACCAGCCCCAAACATGTCCCAGCTGCTCTTTGTGCTGCACCGGGGACAGAGTGCAGCAACACTTAGACCCTGACCACGCAGTCACCTCCAGCCAAAGGGCACGTGGATCCCACTCATCAGGGCCTCTGGAGAAGCAGCAGAGGGGGCTGGGAGACCTAGAGGAAGGCAGGCTCTGCCGGCTCTAACTCTAACGTCTCTCCAAGGCGACTTTCCCTGCCCTCATCAACGTTTAGTTGTTTCATGAAATAGAAAAGAACTGACAAGGCACTGTATATAAGAGTGGCACGGTTACATGCACATGGCAGCAAAGGAAAACATCCCTGTTTCTGAGGCGACACAGAAATAGGAAAAATGGTGAGTCTGGCAGTGGCTCTCCGCAGGAGAATCATCAAGGCATAAAGTTCCCTGATGATAGTCTGCACCAATGAATTCACATATTCGGAGGAGGTGCCAGGGCAGCCATACCTCCTTGGAGACACGCCCACAGGTCTTAGAATCACTATCAAGAACAATGGTGCAGTGTGAGTTCCCACTAGCCACCCACAGGAAGGAATCAGCACAGACAGTGTGGTGGCTAGGGGCTGTCCTGGGGCCTGAGATCCACGGGTCATTAGTTCCCAGCGCGCAGGAGGAATGCTCCCCAAGGGAAGGGCCTGGAGAGGGCTGAGCCTGTGGAAGATGCTGGCCAGAGTGTGGGGCCAGGTGGGCTCCAGAACTCCAGCTGTGGCCGCTCAGGGACCTGGGTGCTGATGGGAAGCAGAGACCTGTAACCCACAGCACGGTTGGGGTCTGTCCAATCCAGTAACAACGTGAGCTGTATCTCCAGGGTTTTCATTTCACTTTTCGAGTTAATTCATTTTATTGTATTTTACACGAGTATTGGTACATGCATGACTAATAGTATGTTATAAAATAAATAAGTCCTGCTGCCTCTCAATTGAGCATTTGAGAGGCAAGCATTCAGAGGACAAGCATTCTCCATGGGAGGGACATGTGGCCCACCAGCAGGTAGCCACTGCCATCTCCATAAGGTGCCACTGCTGTCCGGGGGTTGGAGGTACAGCCTGGGTCCTCCCCTCAACCCCAGGCCAGTGCTACCCTGAGGTGAGAACTGAAGGCTGGCTGGATGGCAGTGTGGTGTCCTGGAGCGGCAAGGATGGGGTGCTGGGACAAGCCCAGGGCTGCACAGGTGAGGAGGGGCGCACAGGCCTCATTCACGAGGGGAGTTCAAAGATTTCGGGCTGCCAGAGCAGAGAAGGAGCTTCCTTGCTGACAGGGGAACCAAGGCCAATGGCCAAGAGGAAATGAGAACAGAGGGAGTGTGGACAAAGTGGGAGATAAAAGCAGTCACTGGCGCTGAAACTGGTTTGGCTCAGTGGATAGAGTGTTGGCCTGCGGACTGAAAGGTCCCAGAGTTCGATTCCGGTCATGTACCTTGGTTGCAGGCACATCCCCAGTAAGGGTTGTGCAAGAGGCAGCTGATCGATGATTCTCTCTCATCAATGTTTCTAACTATCCCTCTCTCTTCCTCTCTGTAAAAAAATCAATAAAATAAAAAATAAAAAAAAGGGCACGCCCTGTAAAAGAGACAGAGGAAATGTATCCTGTCTCTGCTCTGACCCTGACTTAATTACCTACGCCAAGTTTCTTAACTTCCCTGTGTCTCAGTTTACTCACCTGGAGATGGGAACCATACCTGTATCATGAGACTGGGAAGCCATTAAGCCCTTACCAACGTCAGCCTCATCTCAGTGCTGCCGCTTACAAGGTCTTGGCTCAAGTCCCCAGTATTCTTTCCCCTGCCTTACCCTGCAAACAGGCTGTAGGGTGAGGGAGTAGCAGGGGCCAGAACCCAGGATTGGGGTCTTGCCAGAACCATCGAGAGACAGCAAGTGCGAGTCTTTACCACGAGGGGCTGCAGGTTTGTGAAGCATGGAACATGTAGCTGGAGGAGGCAGCCGGGGGACAGGGACAGAACAGGAAGCCTAACAGCCTTATGTGGGTGAGGAATGAGGGAAAGCGACCAGATGCTGAGGTTAGTGCACTGGAAACAATCACAGCACTCTTTTCAGGTCGTCTTGATAAGGGCAAGCATCTTATAAACACTGACCATGAAACCCCAGTCCAACAGGAACTCGCCCATTTCCTCAGCCCAGTGGGACTACCATCCATGCACAGGCATCAGCACTGGTCACTGCCTCCAGCCCCCGCACTTTCTCGGGCACACTGACATTTCCTGCGACCTTGCGGAATGCAGTGCTGTGAGGAGGGGCCTTAGGGGTCTCCAGCAGCACCTGCTCAGAGCACCCCCAGAAACCTTCTCTGGAAGGACCAACTGAATGTACGGTGCTCCCGGGACACCTGCCTTCACCACACGGTCAATCGCTCTGGAAACACAAAGGGGCTGTGTAGCCTGAGACAAGTAGTTGTAACTCACTGGTTTATAAGGATTTTGATAAACTTCCTTTTAAAGTCTACGCATGTTACATTTCAAAATACATTGTCACTTGACAGCTTAAAATGTGTCATATGCTTAAGTAATATAAATGAAGAAACATTTCATTGGGGAGTCTAAGTACATAGTATCCCAGTATCAGCGTCAGAAATCGCAGACATAGTATCACTTGAATGGTTTGACTGAGCCTGCATCAGCACAGCATGAAAGCAGACTCTTCCAATTCCAATTTTTTCATCCATAATTTGGAACTTCAACTAAGTTCTGAATTTGCTGAACCAATGGATGAAATCATTTTCCATTGCCTAAATTTAGAAAATCTCAAAATGTGAAACTGTAGAAAGCACCTTTCCCCTTGAAAGTTCACTCAAACAAACACTACATGGTTTCGAAAGTTTATTAAAAATCAAAGAATAGAAAAACTTTACATAAAAATATGTCCATTTAGCTTCATATTGTTGTCTGCACACAAAAAAAATTGAAACATGATATCCTTTGTGACCACAGTGGTAGCCAGGCCAATTCATTTGTTCACCATGACGGGGTGGAGCATGGCACCTGTGTGTGTGAATCGAGCTTTAAAATGGGCACCCACGGGACACTGGCCGTCGTCCCCGCAGTGGTGTCCTTAGTGTATAGGGTTACAGTCAATATTGCTAATATGTAGAGATTAGTACAGACCTACATATCAGTTTTATAAATATCTCTTTATCAATAGGTTTACAATTTAAATATCTTTAAATATTCTGATATCTTTCGATCATTAAGAACTGTAGACAAAATGTGCTACTCTATTCTGGAATGCCTCCTAGGGAAGCTGCAGTCACAGCTGGCAGCTCTCAATGATAATATGGGCCAGTCCTGCTTAAAACCAAACAGACGTAGACATTTTAAAGCTTGTCCTTGCTGGGTGTCCATCACATTCAGATATCACTCTACATATCAATCAGGTGTCATGGTAATACGTTTCTTGTCTCAACATACTCCACTAGTGGACTCCAAAGGCCAACTTCCCTTTAGTGTTCAGTGGGTAGACTCCAAAGGCCAACCTCCCTTTAGTGTTCAGCAGGGTCAATACCCCACGTTAGAAATGGGAAGTCAGACCTATGAGATGCGCTAACTCCCAGGACAACTGTGGTGCTCCAAAAACTCAGGGTTAGGCAGGATGAATATTCTTGTTCAAAAAAAGGTAACAAAGACAGTGGTTGTCATGGCAGAATACACTTGCATAGTATACCTGTATGCTTCTCAAGTCGGGCGCCAGCCCTCCCAGCCCCACACTGGGCTGTGCTCTCCTGCAATGCATTAGGAATACTCCCCACAGCGCGCTGAGCAGCTGAAGCACTTTTCCTATATTTGCTGAGCAGCTGAAGTACTTTTCCTATATTTGCTCTTAACAGAACGAATGCATACTGCTACACAGATTCCTCAATGGAATCAACATAATTCCTTTCTCCACATTCCTAAACTGGGCACCATTGTCCGTCATGATCCTCACCAGCCCCATCATTACAGGCTGTTATTACTAAAGCTGACTGAAGCATGTAGTTCACATTCTTTTTTTTTTTTCTTTTTTTCTTTTTTTTTGATTTTATAATGTGACAACCTCTTCTCCCCTTAGAAAGTTGTACTTCTGGCACTTTAAATGCTGGATTTGTTGTCTAGTTTAAAAGAACCAAAAACCAAAACGTTAAAACTCCATGGTCAGAGCGAGACAATAGGCAGGCTGGACGGCAGAACCGGCAGGCAGCTGGTCGGGGGCCAGACCCCTTCAGAAAACTAGGGGGCAACTTGGCTCCTTCACCACAAATTGAGAGGCTTCCCCTCTGACCCAAAGAATAAACATAAAAATAAACCCAAGCCCCTCATTCATGGTGTTTGCAACAGTGCTCACCAGACAACCAGCCGACTCTATGAACCCAACTTAGAAAAGCAACTTGGGAAAGGACCTAAGCTTGTTTAAAAAAATTCCCTCTTCCCTTAAATATAACTTATGTGAAAATAGGAAATTAAATAAAAAATATCTGAGTTATTGCACAAATGATAAGTTTTCAATATTTACATAGAAAAACAGTTCTGAAACTTGAAACAAAACATGAGGGCAGTAAAACAATGTGACCTCCATCCATCTGCCGAGGAAGAGCCGATACAGGGTTGATCTCTGTGGCTCTGACAAACGTAAAATGAAAACACTCAACCTCGAAGGAATAGACACGGCTGAGAAACAAATGCCCAAGCCGACTTCATCCCCTGCAGCTCCAGGTCCAGACCTGCTTCTGGAAGGATCCTGGGAAGGCAGAAAACAGCGTCCACGTGGATAAGGCTTCACAGATGAGCACAAGGAGCTGTTCTTTAAGATGGACGTGACCACCACACAAGAAACATGCAGAGTGATCAGCGGCGGGCGTTTGAGAGGCCCGGCTGATGTGCTGGATGCTGGTCTCAGTTCCTGCCAGGCGCCGAGGCCACCCGGGTCAGTCTCAGAAGGGTGTGGCCAGGAGGTGCCACCAGGAACTATTATCTGCTGAGACTAACAGGCAGGCTGTCCCTCGTGTGCGTGTGTTTTTTCCTCCTCCAGCTGGTGCGGTTATACTGGTGGTGTCCTCGGTTGCCCACAGGGGGTCGCACACCTCCACTGCCCACAGAGCTGTAGCTGCCACCTTGGCTGTGGTTGTGAGAGCCTTTCATGGCCAGCTTCATGCCACTGTGCTGCTGAATAGATAAAGAGAAACAGCACAATGAAGGGTGGCTTGGGAACAAGAGACACCACTGCCATGGGAGACTTGCCCATCTCAGCTCCTGCAAGCCTAAGCAACAAAAGATCTGGCTGGAGTGATGGGGGACAGTGATAAATGTAGCAAATACAGCCCATGAGGGCCCAAGAGAACATTGGCCTCAGACACTATACCCTGTTTCTACTGGAAGATGCTGGTCACAGCTCTTTCAAACACCTGGGCACTTCACGAGCACAGGAACTTCACAATGGATTGTTTTCTTATTACTCAACAGTTTCTAATGTGTGGGATTTGGACTTGGATGAACCACAGGGAAATGGAGAAGGGCATTGGCAGGGACCCCAGGGCCTAGAAAGCAAATGAACTTTGGGCCCTGCCAGCCCACCTCGCCCTCTTGCATGGTGCCAGGCAAAGCACTGGCGAGGGAGTGATGCTGTGGGAATAAAAAGCACTACAAGGAGTCACATCAATATTTGTTATAGATTCTATTCGCTTCTTGAAAACCAAAATTTTTAGCACATAAATTAATAGATACATGGGAAAAACAAAATATTCTTCACTTCAAATCTTATTTCAAACTTCAATTTTATGCTAAAAATTTCACTAGACAAATTAAGAGAAATATATTTGGAAAGAAATTAAGCTATAACTTGTAAAATAATTTCTTAACACTTTTAAAGTTTTATTTGTTATAAGGGAAAGCAAACATGAAGCTGAATGATCAGAAAACAAATTCCCTTTTAAAAAGTCTCGAGTCCTGGCCAGTTTGGCTCAGTGGATCAAATGTCCGCCTGCGAACTGAAGGGTCCAGGACACGTCTGAGTTAAAAGCTCAAACCCCAGGAGATCTCTTTCCCTTTCCTTCCCTCTCTGAAATCAATAAAAATACATTTTAAATACACACACACACTTTAAAGTCTCTGGAATCCTCTCTTTGGCAGAGGCAACAATTAAGTGCCACCTATCATGAACCTGCTGTGGTAGGTGCCAGGGGACTGGACCGGACAGGAGACCTACCTTATGATACAGATGAGGGCTGGAGAGCGGGTTAGGAGACGCGGACGGAATGGCCGGGGAAGACATGTGGTGCACGGCCTTCAGTGCGGAAGTTCCTTCAACACCAACTTGTCTGCAAGGAATGGGGGCTACGCCCAGGGTCGGCGGAGGTATAGTAAACCTGGTCTAGGGAAAGAACCACCAGAGACACCCATTAGGCGCAGAGCCAATGCAGGTCAACCATTCCAGGTCCAGGGCCCGGTTTGTGTAGAACCTCCCAAGATTTTGATCTAAATCAAAAACATTTATGTTCTGAAACAGCAATCACAGTATGAAGTAGACCTAGCAACCCAAGTCAGAACGTTTCAATATTTATTAAGACCAAATAACAATTCAAAAACTACAGCTATCAGATTAACTGCCCGTTGAATCTCTGGAAACAGCCGACGCAGAGGCAGGCAGCCTCTGCCCCTCCTCCGTAGTTGAGAACTGCTCCTATTTCTGCATCACCGTTTCGTCACAGCACAGAGTGCTGGCGTGAAGCCCTCTCCTCAGACTTTCCAAAACTGCACTACTCACATCTTACAGTCCTTTGCCCCACAGACCTCAAGAGTGACGGCATGTATCTATGTCACTTTCCACTCAATTATAACCACGTTGGAGAAACTGGCTTTACTCTTTTAAGTAAATTAATGTGATGGGTTTTATACATATACATATTCAACTGATATATAATTGGGAACAAAATTTAGTATTTTGGATATTGTCTTTCAGACTTCTAATTTTGTCTAAATTTAAAAGAGAACATATTCTAATAGCCAAAGTCCTATAAATACTGCTTGTGTGAAAACAATGTGAAAAAGCCAAAGTGTCTATTGGTAAGAGTGTAAACTCTGTGATTCTCAGAGGAAACAGGGACAAGTGTCCATTTCTGCCTGAGGAAAGCATCATTCCTTCTCTCTGATACAACCCCAGAACAGTGGTCTCACGCTGGGTATCAATGTAAAGAATGATAGGAGTCATATTCTATGGGACCCACAAATGAGGATAATTTCCTATGAGACAGAAATGTACCTTCCAAAGACCTTTAAAGTTCTTTTCCTAAATCAAAGTGTCACCACTCCTACACAGTTCCCAAGGACCCATCACAGGATGGGCACCAGTGGCCACATACCTGAGTGTTAGTTGTCATGACCAATGTTCTGGAAGTAGTGGACTGAGGCTTGCCACTTGGCATGGGCAAGGCGGTGGGCAAGCTGGCCAGTAGGGGAGTAGGTGCTTGCAGACTGAACTGGTAAATGCTGGGTGTTGTGCAGGGAGGGGTGTCAGAATCCTGTGAGCAAAAACAACAGGGAGGGCTGTACAAAGATGACTACTTAAGGTCCCGAAAGAAATGCATGCAGCATACTTGCTATGCAAGGTTGCTAGAATCCGTCCGTTACTGCTGCTCAACAGGCAGCCCAAAGCTGCTCACATTTGCTTCATTTCAAAACTGAAGGAAAATGTAAAGGAAATACAGAAAGAATGCCTAGACTTAATAGTTTTATTTCCAAGTAAGTTGTTAAAAGACTATTCAAAGAAGTCACTGTAATTCTACCGTCAGTGGCATTACTGTTCACAAGGGGCCACTGAAACTGAGGCTCACAGCAGAATGGGACTACTCACTGCAGACCTACGGTGGTCTCACATACACAAAGGGAGTGATAAAAACTCCCTGCTATAGATGTTTTCCACAGACACAGACCTCCCAGCCGACATACTCACAATGTCACTTCCAGAAAGTGAAGACACGGAAGACGCAGAGGATCCCGAGGAGAGAAGCTGAGGGCAGGGCAGAGACAAGGTCAGGTGCTGGCTGTAGGGTGGCTCCGGGTCTCGGCACTGGGGCTGCTCTCCATCACATGCGTTTATTCGCTCTTTTATCTTAATTCTATTGTCTATGGAAGGAAAACACAGCCTAGGTGAGTCATTTTCTAGGAGTGCAGACATGTGGCCTGATAGGATAGCCACCAGCCACTGATGTGACTGAGTCTTAAAATGATGCTAATGGCCAAAACCGGTTTGGCTCAGTGGTAGAGCATCGGTCTGCAGACTGAAGGGTCCCGGGTTCAATTCCGGTCAGAGGCATGTACCTTGGTTGCGGGCACATCCCCGGTAGGGGGTGTGCAGGAGGCAGCTGGTCGATGTTTCTCTCTCATCGACGTTTCTAGCTCTCTCTCTCTCTCCCTTCCTCTCTGTAAAAAATCAATAAAATATATTTTAAAAAAAAAAATAAATAAAAAAAATAAAATGATGCTAATGAGGCTGACAAATTGAATTTCTAATTTTATTTAATTTTAAAAATTATATTCTAGTTATTAGAAAACATTTAAATATATTTGAAATAACTTGCTATGTAAAGAGTTTTCAACTACACATTTTATGAAATCTAAATACAGATAAGTATTTCTGGTGGAAATTTAACATGCTAATTGGGATGTGCTATAAGTATAAATACACACTGGATTTCAGATCTTGTATGAAAGAAGGTTCCAAAATATCTCAATAATTTTTATATTGATTACATTTTGAAATGTTAATATTTGAACACTAAATTGAATAAATCATATTATCAAAATTAATTTCACCTGTCTTACATTTTTAAGGCAGTTACTAGAAACTTTTAATATTCCATGTGGCACACATTTCTTCTGCATAGTGCTGGCCTGTCTTATAGTTTTAAATTAAACTCTTAAAGAAAAATTAGGTATTTTTCTTAGTGTGAACAATGTCCCAGGGAGGAACAAAGAGATACTCCTGCATGAGTGGTCAGAAGGTGAAAGGTGACTGACTGAATTTCTCACCAAGGTCGGGAGCTGGGTGGACCTTGCTGCCCCATTTCTCCTTGATCCACCGCCGATAGTCAATCACTTCCTGAGTTACCTTGACGATTCTTCCTAAAGTACTATAAAAGGACAAGGAAGGACATTAACATAGCACAACAGGACTGTGAAGCTATGAACTGGCTACTTAATAAAATAATTTTAAAAAATACATGACTTCTGATGTTTGAGCCTAAATGTACTTTGAGATCAGAGTAGAGTAAAAGTGGATTCACTTATGTAGAAGTTCTTGAACCTAACTGATCTGAAAAAGACTATTTAAATCCCATGTCTAAGCAGGGAAGTACACCCTCCCACTTGCCATGTTCACGAAGGTGTGAAATTCCCACTTCCCCTGCACAGTGAGAATGGGGAGATAGTATTGTACATCTACCACAGGGCCCCAAAACCCATGACAGATCTACCACCACCAGCGTGGGGCCTCCAAACCTATGTATCCCATAACTCGCCCAAGGAACAGAATCAATGGCACTTTCAACTACCACTTGTGACAATCACACCATTCTTCTTTCCATCCCCTGCTCTCACTTCCCTTTTTCTGTCCCCCAATCCCACCACTCCACCACAACAGCATAATCTGCAGATATAATTTTTTCTCACTAGAAATAAGTGTATATTATAAGTATTCCAGAATGGAGAATGATGGATACTTGTGCCTGAGAGAAGGGGTGGAGCATGGAGACTTAGATACACATTCCTGTAGAGTTGACTACCCAACATTTTGAAGACTGCCTCAAGAAAAAGCATCATGTTCCAAAGTTTTAAAAGCCAAGAATCACCTCCCCAAAACAAAATATTCTAGGGGGGAAAAAACACTAACTCCTCAAATAAGAAAATTTCAATTCTTATCCTTGGATGAGTCAAGTAGAGCCATCCTGAGTTCCTAAAAAGTCTTCCTTTACTGATATTTTCAAATTTTACTAAAATTTGATGGCACATACATTAGAAAACTTCATGGAAACAAATGTCAGAGGCTCATAAGGGTGTGAGGACCATGCCCCTCAGCTGTGAACCCAACAAAGGTGTCTAATGACTTCTGTTACCTTTCCGAATCTCTGTTTGGATAGGACCTCGCAAGCGGTGACACAGCATGACTGAGTACAATGTACGCGTAATCAAAAACCTGTTTCACCTGCATGGCCCCATAGGAGCTCCGGCCAACATCATTTCCTGAAACAGAAAGGCAGCTGTAAAACTCTACCAAACATTTGAGCCATAATCGACGTTTTTTATTTTTTCATATAAAGTTATTCTCAATCAGGCCCTCACCACTCAAACATATCCAGACCCCAAGAGCTAAGCCAGATCAGACACCTGCAAACACACCTTAATCACCATATGGCATCCCACGTTGTTCTCGAGCTGAGGGGCCTGATCTGCATCATCAGATCAGAGTCTACCTCCATGAACAGAGGAGATGTCACTCACAGAGACAGAGTGAGTTTATGAAAAAGTCTAGTAACTCCCCAGGAGGCAAAAAACACAAGTGAGCCAAAGTAGCAACCTGAATCAGGCTGCCATCCCACTGACTGAGAGCACACTGACTGAAGCAGGCAGTTAACCTGAGGCCTGCAAAGCAAATCCTCTTGGATAGAATGTTCCGGGTCTGAACTCTGGGTGTTGGGCAGTAAATCAAATAAAGCTGCCACTGAAGTCACAAGCAAGTCATAGTCAAGGGGCTTAACCTTAACTTTAATTTACATGAAATTTCTTCACAAGTCAGGTAAGGATTTTTTTTTAGAAGCGGTATTTTGAGTATTGAAATATCTTCTTTTCACAATTATGTAATAGTAGAGGCCCACTGCATGAATTTCATTCACTGGGGGGAGAAGAGGGAGTGGAAGGGTTCCCTCAGCTCAGCCTGTGCCCTCTCGCAGTCTGGAAGCCTCAGGGAATGTGTCTGACTGCTGAGGAGGCAGGAGAGGCTCCCACCACCACTGTGCTCACGGCTGTCAGCCATGCTTGTGGCTGAGCAGAGCTCCCCCTCTGGGAGCGCACTGACCACCAGGAGGAAGCTCCTGCATTAAGCATCTGCCCCCCTGGTGGTCAGTGCACGTCACAGCAACTGGTCATTCCAGATCATCCTGCCCTTAAGATCAATTTGCATATTACCCTTTTATTATATACGATTATTATATAGGACAATCTAGTGATAGAGTGGAGGTTTTGTTTTTCAAGTACATTTTAGCAAACACTGAAGACAATGTTTAACTTATTCTGTGTTTAATTTATAAACATAGACAGATGATGAAAACCTGCCACACCATGCTGTCGGGAAAATCACTATTGAAAAGACATAGCATAAATCACGGCATTTATGAACAACAGAAGAGTCAGTATGTTTTCTTTAAAAAAATTTTTTTTAAGAAATAAATTTCGTACCCCAAAAGGCATAAAACAAAAAACATTAAATATGAGGATATTAAAATATATATATAGAAGCTAAACAATAAAAAATACCAAATCCAGCCAAAGCCGGTTTGGCTCAGTGGTAGAGCGTCGGTCTGTGGACTGAAAGGTCCCAGGTTCGATTCCGGTCAAGGGCATGTGCCTTGTTGCGGGCACATCCCCGGTACGGGGTGTGCAAGAGGCAGCTGGTTGATGTTTCTCTCTCGTCGACGTTTCTAACTCTATCTCTCTCCCTTTCTCTCTGTTAAAAATCAATAAAATAGATTTTAAAAAAAACAAAAAAAAAACACCAAATCCAAAGAATGTATATGCATAACCCATGGACACAAACAGTAATGAGGTAAAGGCCTGGGGGGAGGGCAGGTGTGGGGTGGAGGGGGTCAATGGGGGGGGAAAGAAGGACATATGTAACATTTTCAATAATAAAGATAAATCCAGGTGCAAATGACAAACTGGGATAAAAGTACAGCATGTACAACAAAGAAAGGCTTCCCTAATTTACATGGTCTCACAAAATCGGTAAGGGAACAGTCCAGCAGACACATGACAAAGCACATGAACTCACACAAAAGACATACAAAGGGGCAGTGTACCTGGAGCTGACATCTCCACCACCTTTTCTGTCACCTGTCCGTCACTGACTTTATCACCAACAGTAAGAACAGTGTCTCACCTAATAGATGCTCAATAAACATTTGTGGAATTGATAAATAACAATGTGCTTAACCTCACTATCATTAAAGAAATGTAAATTAAATAAAAATTTATTTTATCAGATTGGCAAAAACTTAAAAGACTGTCACAAAGGTTGGGAATATGAGCACCCTTAAAAACAATAAAAGGAATAAAATTGGAAAACTGGAGACCTGCTTCAGGTTCTTCAAGGTGGCTAGCAATCCTTGTTACAGAACAGACCCTACACAAATAAAAGGGGGGATCTTGGATACACTGTTAAGTAAAAAACAAGTTGCAAATCTGCTTGTATTATATTATGCCATTTAATTGATAAGGCTGCAATATATATAAAAAAACAAAATGGGAGAAATATACACCAAAATGGGAGGGGAGAATGGCATACTTTGTTTTTTCTCTACCACATACTTCTGGGAATTAAATGGTTTATGATAAATATGTAATTTTATAATAAAATATTAAACTTCTCTTAATTTTCACCACCTACATATTTCTAGTTGACTACAGAATGTAAATAAAATTGAAACTTTGCAGTAAGTAATTAGAAGTGTTAAATAAGGAATTATAGATTGTCGCTATTAACTGTTAGGACAACAGGAGTCCTAATGAACTGCCTTTGGCTCCCAGAGCCTGAGGATACACCACCACCACCACCACCACCACACCAGTGCACCAGGGTAGGAATGCCCCCACATCTCTTGGGGCAAGTTCAGAGCAAAGTGTCATTACCAGGCAGCAAGGGGTCCTCAATGCACAGCATCGAAGGTCTATACCCGCTGGTCATGGCTTTCATGATCTCTTCTTTGGCAATATAGGCACCTCCTTCTTTTATTCTAATACCAGTTTTCAAGTAATTAAAATTTCTTCCATAGAGTTCAAAAAATTCTACAAGAAGCATTCCAAGGTTTTCATCAGCTCTCCGGGCATCAATTCTTGGGTGCAACTGTAAAAGCAATGGATTCAAGTTATTCCTAAAGAAGACTGCATGTAATGAAATCTGCTATCTAGTGATCTCTTCTAGGACAGCCCTCAGCAGTACCCACTCACCCACAGGCATTGGGATGCTCAGAGCAGTTGCAAAAGTCAATAACAGAGCCTAGTCAATAAAGAGAATTCAAAAGAAATAAAACCTTCTACCTGAATGTTTTTATTATATATACTTCAATTCTTTGAAACTGGTAATCTATACAGCAACTCCCTACAAACACAGACATCTGATTAACCACAAGTTCCCAATCACTAATGAGTGAGCCATATTCTGCACAATTTAGCATCATCTAAATCAGCAATTTTCAACCGGTGTGCCACAGAATTTTTAAAACATGCAATACCTGACTGTTCAGTCAGGGGCACTGACCTCTTCTCACTTAGAGCAGGGGTGGGGAACCTTTTTACTGCCAAGGGCCATTTGGATATTTATAACAGCATTTGCAGGCCATACAAAATTATCAACCTAAAAATTAGTCTGTTGTATTTGGTCAAACATTTAATTTACTCACCCCTAATACCTTGGCAGGGCCACATCAAATGATTTCTCAGGCCTTATATGGCCTGCAGGCCTATGTTCCCCATCCCTGCCTTAGATTGTCAGATGAAAATGAAAAAAAAAAATTACAACAGCCAACACAATAGTCGTGCTATGTGAATAAATCAAAATTATACCTATCTTTTTTTGTCAGATTGGCAAAAAATATAACATTTTTTTGGTGTGCTGCAGAATTTTAGTAACTAGTTTATGTGTACCATGAGATGAAAAAAGTTGAAAACTGCTAGTCTAGATGGTGGAAGTGATTTTACAGATTCTAATCTTAATTTCGTTGTTCCAAAACACAACCAAAAGGGGGCAATATTAAACAGTATCATCGAAAACCAGAATGCAAAAGAATTAATATTAACTGTGTATAGTAATTTAGTATTGTATCATAATATTTATAGCAAACTTATCATAGAGATTAGCATCAGCCTCAGTTCAGCACCACAATTTCTTTAAGTGGGTAATGGACTTTTTTTGAACCTAAGTCACTGTCTACTGACACATTCCTGAGTAACTGATTTAAGAGACTCAAATCTGAGCAATGCAGACCTATCCTGACCATAAGAAAAACCACGAGCCACATATGGCTATTTATATTTAAACTAGAGGCCAGGTGCACAACATTCAAGCACTGGGTGAGGGGTGGAGAGAGGGGGGTGGAAGGGTCCCTCATCCTGGCCTGTGCCTTTTTTTCAAAGTCCAGGAGCCCTCAGGGCATATCCAACTGCCGGCCTAAGCCGCTTAGGGGGAGCAGGCCTAAGCCGGCAGTTGGATATCATTAGTGCTGCTCTGGAGGCAGGAGAGGCTCCCACCACCGCAGCTGCACTCCGCAGTTGCACTCGCCAGCCACAAGCCCAGCTTCTGGCTGAGCAGTGCTCCCTTGTGGGAGCACACTGACCACCAGGGGGCAGCTCATGCATTGAGCATCTGCCTCCTGGTGGTCATTGCACATCATAGCAACCAGTCGTTCCACTGTTCAGTTGATTTGTACATTACCCTTTTATTATATAGGATAAATTAAGACGGATTAAAAATTCCATTTGTCAGTCTTGCTAGCGATATGGCCAATGCTCAGAAGGCATCTGGCCCATGCTGGATAGTAAAGGCAGAAAACACTGCCAACTGCATAGAATTACACTGGACAGCACACAAAAGTAAAAATCCTGATAGATGCACAATTTACAAGGCAGAGCTCCATAAGGAATCCTAAAAGTATTTTTAGGGTTCATAACTGACTTCTGAAGATATGCATACTCCAAAGGCACAAGTGTAGCATTCTTATTTTTCCTTACCTTACTCTCTTTCTTATTCCTTGCCTTCTAGTCAAAATAAAATACCTGAGGATTACCCAGGGTGAGGCTGAGTTTTCTTATCTCAGTTATCCATGAAATGAACTCAGGTGCTACCATACAGTTTTGAGGCAGGAAGGGCAAGGCACTAAAGAATGTAGAGATGACAAAGACAATCCCACCCATGCTAGGCAAGGCTTCTAGGTCACAGGAGAGTTTCGAGGATCCCATGGGGTAATTCGACAAAAGGCTCTTAGCCAAGGGCAATAAAAGTAAGAAGTTGTCATTATTACAAGGTTACTAAAATAGTTCATATAAGAATACATGACAAAGTAAGCTAAGAAGAGATTGTTATGTTACTTCAAAATCAGGTCCAAAAACTAGGGAAGAGTGGCTATCAGGGCAGCATTGTGGAGGAAAGAGTGAGCGTTAAGTCAATGGGATTAAAATTGTAGAAAAATTCCATTTTCCCTATTTGTATCTGCACAGACCCAAAGAAGCCAAAGTAACTGAAGGCAGTGCAACCAGGAGTTGTACTGACTTCTAGCAATTTTCCTGATGAGAAAATTACCAAATTCTGGACATAAAACCCTCACTAAGCACAAACACAAATACAAAATTAATAATAAACCTGGAGAAAATGTGTTGTGTAGCTAAAATAAATAGGCAAGTCTTTGTAAAGCACAGAACCAAAAAAATATAAATAAAATGTTTCAATTAACTTAGAGACTACTTTGTATATAGTGTATCAGTACATCACAGCATTTAACCCTTAGGTAGGTCTTCTACTGAAAAATGTTCCCACGGTACTGAATAAAATATTGAAGTTCTGTCAATATATAATTCAAAACAAAATTTTAAAGTTATGTTAATCTGGGGTGGGGAGCCTCTTTTTAATATTTTTTACCATGTACAGCATCAAACTTTTCTCTGAGATAGTTTTCAGTATTAAATCATAGTCAAGCACAAGAAAAATGTTTTTATTATATATCAAGGTATGAAATTTTTCTAAATGTATAGGTATTTCCTTGAGTTTAGACTGATATACAATTAAGTGACAACCAGATAAGCCCTCCCTCTTCTAACAGTTAAATCAGCTACAAAATAAGCTATAAAGAACAGTAGGAAAGAAGTATTCATCAAAATAGGGTTTTATTATGAAAACTAGAAGTCAATCTCTTCTAAACCAAAACAAAGTAGTGGAGGGAGAAGAGGACAGCTGGTACCCACACAGCAACTGGTCAGAATAACAACCAAGGAAGAACCTAGTCCTACTGAAAAGAAGTCCACTCACCTGTAGAAAGCTAATGGCCATTAAAATTAGGCTATATGAGCTAATTCCACCGGTAAAAACTTCATTCAGGTCCCTCTGCAGGAGGAACTGTTTCAATACTAAAATCAAGTAAGGCAGCAATGAATATTTCTGTAAATTCCAAAAGAGAAATATTTACTGGTTAGTTTATATACCTTGAAGACTTCTTACATAGCAAATTTTACATAGTAGACAAGGAATCTTCCTAAATCCTCCTGCCCCTTGGAAAGCTCTAGATTAATCATCCTCAAAGGGCTCATTACCATCCCATTGGGGAGCTCCTCCCAAGTTACAAGGTGGGGAACTTTGCACAAAGAAAAACTCAGGGGATGAATGAGTACATTCCTTCAAATCCTTCCCAGGGCTTGCTGCCAGGCAGAGGGCTGTGCAGGTGAAGGGAGAGATGTGACAGTGATCAAGGAAAGGTCCTAGAACCGATGCAACACTCGGAGGCAATCAGAGAAAAACAGAGGATGTTGGAGGGGGGAAAGCTCATGAGGCAGGGGACAACAACAGGATGAGTGGTCAGACTTCCCAAGGAGAGAACAGGGTGAAGGTAAAAAGGAAATGCAGAGGCGGGAAAAGGGGTGGGAGACAGAGGAAACTTCTGTTGTTTTCATGTCTGCTGCAGTAGAAATGAGTCCCCAGACAAGACTTGATGTAAAGGAAAAGGGAAACAGAAGGAGTAAGGTCCCTGAAACTGTGGGAAGAGGCAATACCCAGACTACAGGCAATTAAAACTACATAGCTGTTTTCCAGATTTGCTTCAGTTGAGGATAAATAACTCAATTGTACAAGCTCCGTTATTATGGACAATCAGTTTAAAGTTAACATTTATAAGAGAAACAATATCCAACATATCATCTAAGTCCCTGATTTTTATTGTGTTAACTTGCTAATGGCAGTACCTTCATATAATTCTTAATGAACTCTGCTGCCCGGACCCCAGTCTCCATGTTGAAGCTGATGTCAACTTTAACTTCAGTCTCCTGGTCTGTAAGTTTTATTATCGGTACCTGCAAAAGTTTAATTTGAAAACGTGTGCTTTAATATGCAACATTCTCTACAGTCAGGCATCAAAATGTTCCCAAAGTTGTACAGAGAGGCTTTTAAAAAATTATTCACAAAATGGGTTTAGAGATCATAAACCCAAGATTTTAAAGATGAGAAGAAAAGGGACTTTGCTAGAGTTAATCTCTAGTCCCTGGATCCCAAGAACCCCTCCTCTCCAACGCCAGCAACGCCTCTGCCAAGGTCTGCTGGCATGACTCAGCACCTTGCCAGTAATCGAACATCAATCATGGTCACTATCTGCTTCTGCCAACGAGATGGGGCAAAGGGAAACAGGTGCTGAGGAAAGGAGAAATAGGGGTGGGAAGGCCCAGGCTCCACACACCTGCCTACCACAAGGAGAGGCCAGCTAAGTCCCAGTTCCATCACAAGTGCCTGATTATTGAGAGGAACTCCTGTCCCCAAATTATGTTTGCTAGAATTTCTGAAAACATTCAAGAGAACTTGAAAGCCAATTTAGAATTATAATTTGTACTGATGTTGTTTCTCCAAACAATTCTGTTTCAAACTTTAAAACAAATTAAAAAAACAAAAAACAAAAACCAACCTCCCCCACTAAAAATCAGAGAATAAAAAGCCATTTTGGAAATACTCATCAATAGAAATTATTACCAAAAGGCACTCCAAACTGGCCTTAAGACAGGCCAATGAGGCTCTATGACTGAAGGTCAACCTACGCATCAGGAGGTCATGGTTCAATTCTTGATCAGGACACATGTCTTGGTTATGGTCTTGATCCCCAGTAGGAGATGTGCAGGAGGCAGCTAATCAATGATTCTCTCTCATCACTGATGTTTACTCTCTCTTCCCCTCTCCCTTCCTCTTGAAATCAATAAAAAAAATTTTTTTTTAAACTGGCCTCATAAAAGATGTCCAAAGAACCATTAAAATCACCTCCACCCCCAAAATTTGTGTTTTTCCAAAAGAAAAGGCAATGTTTTATTCATTCAGCCTCTAAGGACTAAAAAGGCTGAATTCCCTTCACCAAAACAAATGGGATCTAGTTAAAGGTTTAAAATGTCCAAAAGTCAATACAGACACAGGCTTTCAGTGCATAACCTGATCTAAAATGCTCACCTAGGGCCAACTGCTAAGGACACCTGGTGACAGTGGACCTCTGGCAGCAGAGGAAAAGGATGTTGGAACCCACCCTGGACTAATTACCTAACCTCTCTGTGCCGCAGTTTCCTCACCTGTCAAATGCGGGGGGGAAAAAAAGTAGCTCCTGCCAATGAAAATGCCTTGGAGGATTAACTGAGATAATGCCTGTAAGTGGTTTAAAAAATGGCCTGAGCCAAAGCCGGTTTGGCTCAGTGGATAGGTCTGCGGACTGAAAGGTCCCAGGTTCAATTCCAGTCAAGGGCATGTACATTGGTTGCGGGCACATCCCCAGTTGGGTGTGTGCAAGAGGCAGCTGGTTGATGTTTCTCTCTCATCAATGTTTCTAGCTCTCTATCTCTCTCCCTTCCTCTCTGTAAAAAATCAATAAAATATATATATTTTTAAAAAATGGCCTGAGCTTACCCATGGTGCTAGAAGGCAGATGAGCAAATGGCTCCACTACATGAGCAAGATATAGCTTAATTTCTAACAATTTTTTTAAAACTGAAAGGACCTAGTCTGGCTTCGTACAGGTTGAAACAATTTAAAAATGAAATATTATCACACAACAGGCAAGTAACTTACAGCTCCTGCACTGTTTCTATCTTGGACTTAGAGAAACCTTGACAAGTATGCTTCAAAATCAGGCTCATCTTCCAACTCCTCCCAAGGTAAGATGTTTTTCATAAATGTGTACTTTTAGAATGAAACAGGTTAAGTATTTCTTTCTGAAGTGTAAGTTAGCAAACAGTAATCTTTTTCTATGTAATAAAAGCCATGGTTTAATCATTCAATTACATACTCCAGAAAGGACAGCAGCTAAATGTGTCTCATTTCAGGTACTAACATCCTTTCCTCACAAACCCTAAGAGAAGTCGACAGTCTTGTATCTTAGTACCAAGAACATCTTGTGATTCAGATTTTTACTGAACCATTTCTCAGCTGGTGACAACTAGGATGCACATTTATCCCAAAAGTAGAGAAGTCTTCAGAATCTAACCAATACCTGCTGCAGACAACCCCAGCTAATACCCGGCATCGGAGCAGGCCTCCACTTACTGTAGCTTTGTCCAGAACCTTGATGGAGCCCGGCTCAGCCACGTTGTGCTTCCTCAGGGCCTGCTCCAACAGCTGGAGAGGAGGACGCTCCCATTTTCCAAAGACCACTAAGTCAATGTCACTAAACAAAAGGAAAATGGCCATAAACTACTGCTCACCTCACCATGCAGTAACACAGACATCTGGGGTAGTCTGGTGCACATGGCCTGCGTTCCCATTTCCCTCAAGGCTGTCCATAGCCGCATTACCAATATCCCTCTAAGGGAAAGTAAATGTAGCTTATGAAGCAGTATTTATAGAAACATAAAGACTGAAAACAAAAAGGCTGACAGAATATCTCAACATCACAAGGTAATAAGGGACTGAAATAAAGTGTCTGTCCCTCTGAGGTTTCTAGGCCCTTACTCTGTGCTATCTACACTGGGTCACTCATGCTGACCCAGGACTCCTTGAAACTATTCAGTTCCCCACTGGCCCTGCAAACGCCAATCCCAAACCCTGAGATTACAGCCTCTTTAGTCTCCAAATGCTAAAAGGCCAGTAACAAAAAAATAAGACTTTAAATGAAACAATGTACATAAACATATTCGGATATTAAAAGAGTCCTTGATAGGGAAACACTAAAGAATGACGTTAGCATGTAAACTTGTTTGACAATTTTCTGTCAAATAAACAGCTTAACAAAGTATTGTTTAATTAAAAATTTGCTTGAATCTTCATTAAAATGTAAGATCAATTTTTCAAAACATATCCAAAAATATAAGCAGAATGTTTTCTATTGCATTTTCTTCCCCTGACCCTCTTACTCATCTTCTTAATTGCCTAGTGTCCAGCACTTTCGTACCCCATCAAATTAAATACAAGAAAAAATAAAAAGCAATCAATTGCCATAATAGTAAATTAAATTTTATTTCCTGCTATGTCTCCTCTGTGCTCTATAGTCTTTTCCTTTACCTCGTACTTCTAGCCTTAGATTTGAAGAAACCTAGTATGAGCCCTGAAAACAGACAGAGACAGCACCATCCCCCCGTTCCCAGTAAACATAAACACTAACCCGGCACTCACCTAGTTGGAAGATAGAGACCAGTACTAAAGCTGCCAAATATCTGGACCTGAAAGAAAGAATGATTGTCTTGGAATTGGTGACAAGTCAGTCATCCTTCGATTACTTCTCACTGTAAAGCCTCCATTCCATTACTTCCAGGTAAAATGTAAATCACCCTGCACTTTGGGAGGACCCAAAAACAACCCAATGAGATGTAGTTAAACTTTAAGTTAAAGACCTTCCCCAACTCAAAATTAAGAGACAAAATAATTATTGGCCTTGCCCACACCTACCAAAGCCAAGGAGTTTTTAGAGCCTGGTTCAAACTCTCCAAAAACTTTCAAACCCACAGCTGGGACACAGAGGCAAGGAACTATGCCAGGGCACTAAAGTTACAGCCAAGGATATTGTAATAAGTCTCTTTAAAAGTGGAGAGGAATCGAATTGCTGCCTGGCTCACTGGGAGCTCACATGCTCTTCAGCTGCCAGCTCATCTCTATCACTGTGGGCCACCAGTCATGGTCCCTGGTCACTAGTAGGAGAGGCTGACCGATTAGGACAGAAGCCTGTGGGTGGACCATCATAACTTGGTCAGATGACATGTTCATGCTGCCTGTGCTAAGCACTAGAAATGTCAGTGGCCCTCAACTCAATGGACTCTAGTTCATTTACTGTGAAAGTGGTAGGTGAGGAAGTACTTTCAATTTTCACAAAAATGAACTTATGCTACGATGAGTGTTGGGGAAGGGATAAATTTCTAACCTTAAGGTGAATTTAAAAGAAAAATAATCGCCCCATTCCAAAAAAACCTTCGGTTAGGCCAATGGTCCTCACACTTGAACATGTCAGGACCTCCAGGAAGGCATGTTAAATACAGACCCCTGGCCCTCCTCAAGGTATTTGACTCAGCAGGTGCCATTTCTAACAAGCTCTCAGGTGAGATGCTGCTGCCTGGCCCAGGACCACACCTGGAGAATCTATGCCTTGGGCCAAAAAGGGAGACATAGGTCTTCCCAGACAGGACTGACATGTTATAATGTTATAATGTTGGGTGCCATGTAGACTTGTATGCGACAAAGAAGTACAAAGACTACACGCACATCAGCTGTTGGCCAAAGATCTTTAACCACAGTTTCAATCCGTTTCACCACCTCTCTTCTCATGGCTGCTTCTTCAGGACAAGGGGACATGAAGTTATAGAAGTCGATTATTTCCTCATGAAGTCTAGTAAACAAAAGAGAAAACATACTAGAGTTACAATTAAACTTAACCATGTACACTCTGGTATTAGATCTGCGTGACACTATATTTCTGGTTACTTACAAACCAGTGTCTCTCCTCTGAACACTCTGTGATGTTCCAATTACACAGTATTGTATAGCACCACAGATTAACATGAATGAATTTTGTCAATACCATATACCAAAACTTTTGACTGGCACTCTAAGACTTATTCAAAATGAAATTCAGGATGTGAGGGCGATATGGCTGCGACATCTGTCACCCCATTGATCGCCAGGGTTGATTCGGCTGATCTGGCTGGCTAGGCGGGTGTCCCCCTCCTCCCTCACTGATCCATGTGAGTCCCTCCCGAACCTGCGTGCTCGGTCGAAGAGGACGACTTTCCCCCAAGAGGAGAGGACCGGTCTTCGGTCAAGGGTATACGAGTAGCTGTGCTCCCCTGCTAGAACCTCCAAACAAGCTCTCAAAATGAAATTCATTTCAGTGATCTTACATTAAGGAACAGAATTCTACTTATGAAAGATGAAAGATAATTCCGGTTGATGTGTCACTGTGTTATTTTGTTAAAAACACAGTCACCCCAGTTCTGATGTGCTCTGAGGTCCATAGGGCACCTTTGGTGCCCATGCTATGCATGGATGGTCTGAGACAGGCCAAAGCGAGACAGGGACACAAAAGACAAAAAAGACACACGTGCTTAGGAGGCCTGAGGGTTGTCTTAGTAGTCAGGCTCTGCCCTCCCACTGTTGACAACATGCTAGATCCAGTGTCCAGTGCTTCCCAACCTGTTACAGAAACACTGTCCCTGGAGGTAGAACAACCCTATTTACCTCAACACTCCTAATGTGTTCTCTCCTTATGACCTAGAGGCAAGGAAGTCAACAACCAAATACAAGTGGGAAGAAGTATGGCCTGCCCTTTCTTTCCTAACAAAAGTCTTCAGGAGAGAGGAGTGAGTTCCGAAAGCTACTTTATATCTCATCTCTGTCTCAAAAGTCACTTATGGTATGTCACTGTCAGCTATGGGCAAAAAGCCAGTCCTGTGGGGTAGTAACAGTTTGTGGAGTTAAGTTTTAGAGCCAAAAGACCTGCTCTGCAAAGAAATCCTTTTGTAGGAAGGAAAGATGGTCATTCTCCATTTCCTTTAGATTAATTGAAGATGGGGGTTGGAGTGGGAGACAGGAGATGGTCCAATCCTAAAAATTATAACAAATCAGATTCACCTGCTTCCAAGTTTGTTTAGAAAACAAAAGACAAAACAAAATTATCTCAATAATCCTATATAATAAAGAGGTAATATGCAAATTGACCATCACGTCCTCACAAGATGGCTGTCTATGACCAGATCTACAGGGGGGCTAGTGAGGGACCAAACAACTGAACAGCAGGCTGCATGGGGCAACCAGGCCAGCAGGGAGTGGGGGGAGAGGGGGGAGGCAGTTAGGGGCGACCAGGCCAGCAGAGGGGTGCAGTTGGGGGCAACCAGGCCAACAGGGTGGGCAGTGAGGGGTGATCAGGCTGACCCGCAGAGGCAGAGGTAGTGAGGAGCAATCAGGCTGGCATGAAGAGGCAGTGAGGGTGACCAGGCAAGCAGGCAGGTGAGCGATTAGGACCTAGCAGTCCAGAATTGTGAGAGGGATGTCCGACTGCCTGTTTAGGGCCAATCCCAGGATTGGGCCTAAACAGGCAGTCGGACATCCCCTTGAGGGGTCCCAGATTGGAGAGGGTGCAGGCTGAGCTGAGGGGAATCCCCCGGCCCTGTGCACAAATTTTGTGCACCAGGTCTCTAGTAATATAATAATAATGTCAGCTGGAAAGCTAACAAAATAGTTCACATAACAGCAAGCAATACTTCTCAACAGGATCTTTAATGTCAAGTTACAAAGGTAAAGAGCACCATATCATATTACATGTTATCTTATAGGCTCTTGCTTAGTCAACTTCGCCTTTCTTACCTGAAGTACTGCCTCCCTACTCCCAAAATTCATTTGGAGTGGTCATTCCTGACACTCGGCAGCAGGTGTGAAGACTATTCAAGGCCACTAAAAGCAGAGGAAATAAATCCTCTAAAAGAAAATAAATCCTCAACACACTTGTTAAGCCATCAACCTCAGGCCATCACTGGAATCCAATTTTGTTCACCATGTTTAATTTTGTTTTTTAATAAATAAATAAAAAAGCAAACTTCACCAAAGAATGCTGCCAGTTCAGCCAGCAAGGATCAGTCTTTTAATAAAAACAAAATGGTAAAGTCATGTAACACTAAAATGCACTACATTTTCCAAAATATAATTGAAGTCCAAGATAGTGAGGATAAAATTTCTATTATTTTAAGTTACTGAGCACCAACCACATCTCTTCCAGCAGCTCAGAAGACACATTAAAGTCTGAAGGTGTGACCTAAAATTTCTTACCACTTGGCAATGTTGTTAGCATCACTAGATGTGTCTGGTTAGCAGGTTAGTGGCCACACCAGCTAAGAGCCACAGGTGACTCCTTCCCTGTTAGTAAGACATCGTGAAGAGCTGCCTGGGAGAAGCACTGGGCTCTTCCTGAGAGCATCCTGTGCTGAGGGACGAGCTGCCACCCTGGATAAGAAGTTAGTGCACTTGAAGCACTAAGGGCACATGCTCTCCTACACCTCTTAGTTCTGGTCTGATAATAACAGTAGTATAGAAATTTAGAGACAAAAATAAAGGTATGAGCCTAGAATAATTAAGCAATTGGCCCAGAGTCATGGAAGAATACCAAAGCTAATATGCTAAAATTATATCCACAACCCACAAATACAGTAAATCATCTTGTCAACAGGCATTCCAAATGTCATGCATGTCTGCACTTGCTGAGTAGAACGTCCTATCACTTGTTTTCTTAAGTTGTATGTATCTGAAATAACAACATAAGACAGTCCCTTCTCAGCTTCCCAGTTACCCTGCCCTCAGCACCCTGATGTACCAGGAAAAGGAAAGGCATGAAGGGAGCCTGTGCTGCCTGTCTGCAGACGCTACCAATCCGCATGACAGTGTCCGTTTTCTCACATGTCTGTTGATTGGCTCTTGACGTAAGAGAGGTTGTCTAGCACTCCTTCCTTCCCATATTTTAGGATAAATTAATGTTGGGGGTGCAGCATGCCCACATTTCCAGAGCAAGAAGGTGCCAAGTGGGAACACACAGGCCTCCTGACTGCAGTGGCATCTTCCACTGGTAAATACACTGATAATACACATATCTGAAGTAGGTATTAACTTGGGTCTCAAAGTCTGCAACTGTTCTAACAAACATTACATAGTAAGAGTATTCTGACTTTGCCTTCTGGGAATGAAGGGATACTGCTGGCGAACTGACTGGACTAGAAGCCTCTCACTGGCCATGCCCTGCTAGCCCTTTGTTGAGGCAAGCAGGGACTTAAAGGCACTCAGACTCCTGGAACCACCAGAGGACTGCGTGGCTCTGCACTGTGATTATACCTTCGGCACAGAAAGACAAAGCAAGGTCTAAAAACCATCATAACCTCTGGACCCACTGGAAAAGCTACAGCAGCTGCCTTCTCTGCTGGTGTCCAGGTGGAAACCTCTAAAAGAGAGGAAGCACCAAGGCGAGGCAGGGGATTAGGCAGTGAGATAGGACCCAGAAGAACTGTGGCATCGCAGCAATCAACAGAAGCCACAGGACAGTGAGGCAGCACCCTCTCCCTGGCCAAACCCAGCACACACTGTTCTCCTACGCCCTACATTCTTCGGGGCCAAGTATCAATGGACTGGAATCTGTCTCCACCTAGGATGGAACCTACCAACTTCCAGAAACAGAAAGGGCTCACCTCTTCACTGCCTGATCTCCATTACCAGAACAATGCTTATGGCAAGCATTCAATAAATATGTGTGGAATTAATCAAATCAAGTTTTTATAAATATTTGGCTATGACCTTGTCATTTAAAATCTACATTCCCTACAAAAAGACATCAAAAATCATCATTCCAAGAAGTAATATTTTACCCCTGTAGTAGCTACCCTAGATTTGTTAACAGAACCCATTTAAAACAACCAAGTGTCCTTTTAGAAATGTAAACAGTGGCTAAATAAAAGCATTTGGATTACTTTATTCAATACAAACATTACAAATAGTTTTCATCACTTTAAGAAACTGCATATATGGGTAGGGACAAAACACTTTCACTATTAGGTACTATCAGCCTCAAATCCAAAAACCAGGTCATTTTTTAAAATCTATTACTTCCCATATGCACACACTCAATTCTTTAGTTTCACAGAATTAAGTCCACAAAAAGTTTTTATCATTTCTCCTCAAAAACCAAAATGAGGAAGTTCACTCTTCCCACATATCAAAACTTCAAAGGCATTTCTCAGCTAAGATAGCTACAGAAAAACCACACTAAATCTCCTAACCCAAAGACAATTTAGTCATTGTTATCTCTTACAGCTCAATGTCAATCCACTAGAATTCAGTCTTCAAATCTTCTTTGTAGCTGTGGCCTTTATAGAAAAATTTCTAAAATTAGTCAGAGGTGGTACCTCAAAACCCGCAGGAAACTACAAACATCTATCAGGGGGCCCTGGACCTGTTCCACGCCGGCTTCAGTGGCAGAAGCTGCTGGCTGCCTGCCTGGTGTGCTAAGAGGACACATGGACCATCCTCTTCGGCAGCTCCAGGCAGAAGCTACTAGGAGATTTCTCGAAAAGTTTCCTAAGGAGAATTGTTCCCACAGCCCTTTTACTTTCTCAATACTGAACACTGACCTGTGGCCGGGCTCCAGAAACACAATCCCCATTGTAGTACTGGTGAACACACTTCTGAAGTATTTTTTTCTAGGGTACTTTTTTAAAAAAATATATATTTTATTGATTTTTTACAGAGAGGAAGGGAGAGGGATAGAGAGCTAGAAACATCGATGTGAGAGAATCATTGATCAGCTGCCTCTTGCACACCCCTACCGGGGATGTGCCCGCAACCAAGGTACATGCC